AATATCTTCGTCAATAATGAATGAAATTCAAATTTAAAAAAAGGGTTTTAAAGCTTGAAATCTCTACTTTTAAAAGCTTATCACATTTTTTAAGTTTATATGAGTTTGATAATTTTTACATACCAAAAACTACGAGCTGAAAAAGACGAAAAATTTTCTTCTCACTTTGTGGATTTGTAACGTGTCCAAAACAAATTTGAGAAAATTTTCGATTACCTATCGTGAAAGCTTGATACTTTCCCTACAAAATCGTTTTTTTTTAATATCCCTACGACTTTTGATTACTGAGTTATCGCGGATTAAATAAAAGAATTATTTTGACTTTAATTGCTCATAACTCCATTAAAAATTGTCGTATCGTATAATTTAAAAAAAAGATTTTTAAAGCTGAAACTTTACTCTATCAAGATATATTTATATTGTTGGTAAGAAAGTAATTGCGGTTTTTACTGATAGATGTCTTTTAAAAAAACGCGAGGACTTTTTACTTAACCTATGTACCTCATGTCATAACACTTGTCATACATGTGGGGAGATTGTAATTATTATTTATTATTTCATATACATATTTATCATTCTTATTATTTAATAAAACATGTAAACATATTTTATAAGTTATTGTGTCATTTTACATTTTATTTATATGCATTATTTGTAAATTTTTCATGAGCTGTACATACCTCCCTTCTTCTCTTCATGAGTAGCCATATATCTCACCTCTATAGGATATACGGCAAAAATGCAAGGGTTTAAAAAAGTTCGTTATTATATAATATAATATAATATATTATATTATAATATATAATATATATATATATATATATAATATAAATATTTCGGATTTAATATTTTTTTCATAATAGTAGACAGTACAAAGTTTTTACTGTAGTGTGTATTTAATATATGTAGTTTGTTTACTTTAAACATAAATAATAATAAATTAAATTTTTTATAAATGTGGCGGAAGTTATCCTATATATACTTCATTAATAAAAATATAGCGATTCTTTGAATTTGTCTAAAAACTTGATATGGAACAAGCGAAATCTTGATATATGACATTAAATTCTACTCGAGGATAATAAGAATTCGCAAATATTTTTATCTGACACAATAGATACGTCATAGGGTAATGAAATCCTAAAGATATATTTCGGATATGTGATGCCTTTAGGATATCCTTATGATGTGTGTATTTCAAATATTTCTGCTGTATGGGACACAATAATATTCCAGACCTTTACTATACACACGATGAGTCATTTGTGTCTCGGATTAATTTTTTTTATTACTTTTACTATTTTGACAAGAAAACAAAAATTATTAAGTGATTCTATTATACATATACTTTAATAAAAGTATTTATAAAGTAGTGTACTAAAAAAAAGGAAAAGAAGAGACTGCTAAATGTTTCTAGTATAATTTAGCTAAATGTTTCTAGTATTTCAAAGAAATAAAATGTGTGAATGATCACACATTACATGTACATGAATGATCTAATCGTTTGTATCAAGGGCTAATTTAATGATTTCTCGAAATATTTGTTCATTGGCATGAGGCAAACTTGAGTGGAAATTATTCATCATCTATAAATTGTTTAAAATTCATATATGTGACAAAGTTGAGAACTTGAAACCTCGCGGATTTGCCGAGCAATAGAGCTCAGCCTGTTATCCGTTTGGGTATATTATCAAAAGCAATTTTGGCGAACAATAGTTGTCCGAACCGTTACCTCCTAAGCATGTCGCGCTGCAGGGGGTATAACCAGTTTCCTTCCATGAGTACGTAGTTTGCACGTCGCTACCCGGAGCGACCTTGATACTACTGTCGTATCCGCTTCCGCCAGAACTACCGGACGATGATCTACTGTACGAATCCGTTAGGCTCGACTCGGCGTATCCGCTATCGCCAACTGTGTCGATCCTGTAGGATAAGCTGTTCTCTAGCAAACCGCACGGCTCCATCGTACACTTCTCCGTTTCAACGGGCTTCGGGCCGGAGCACTGACTGTCCGGTAGTTTAGCGATGGTTTGGCTGAATTCGAGGAATATCTTGCAGCGCACCTCTCTGTGCCTGACGCCCTCGCCGCAGGTGACACTGCAGGGAGACCATTCCTCGGCGATGAACCTGAGGACCCAAGTTCCACGATTGATACATTCGCGTAGGTATAACTTATAAGATAATACGATAAGCGAACATGAGTTAAACTGGAAATTATGGTAACTAGAATTTGGATCACGAAAAAATGAAAAATGCCTATTTGATGCCTAATTGAACGCCTAAGATTTGATCATTTATTTTCAATATGAGCACTTAAGAAAAATTTAAAGCATATAAATATTATTCTTTATATAAATATACGACTAAAACACTTTAATCTTTTTCTATTAAAATGAAATATCTCCAGTTTGTAAATGTTCAATAAACGTTAAATTATGATTTAACATAAATTTTATAAAATCGCAAATGCATATACGCATGTATAATAACGATATTTATCAATAATTAAAATTGTTTTTTATTAAATACAAAAATTTATGACTGGTATTCATAAGTATGTATATACATTTTATTATCAAATTTAATATATATATTCATATACTAAAAATAGTGAAATAATTATGATATTAACCATAATTGTCACAGCTAATAATTAGATTAAATAAAATACTTAGATATACATACGTTTATATTTTTTATATATTTTTAAATATGATAATAAAGTTTATTTTAATATCATAAAGGTGAATATTAAAATTTAATTAATGATGTTTCGTTATTATATTCAACGTTTCTATTTATTTGAAAAATATTTCCCATTAAAATAGATATTGACGTTTGTTATTTTTATACATAATATGCATTTATTATTTATTTTTACTATAAATTATTATAAATCATAAAATTTACAATAATTTGAAATGAGTTTCATACTATAAAGCGAAATATATGAAAATTCTCTAAAATATAAAATAAACTTTCAATACAGCTAAATATAATTATAATTTTGTTTACAATTCACACAGAAGATAAAAACAGAAAAAAATAATAAATTAAACTTATTAGATTTATATTTAATAAAAAACAATAACAAAATAATTTTTAATTTTTTTCACAAGAACACATTTTCAGAAAGATATTTAAATTATAATTTATAACCTCCACTATCACATAAAAGAGGAATTATCATTGGCGTGATTGATAAAATAAATGAATACATCCAAATTTTCACAATAAAAACATAAAAAATACAATTAATTCATTATTAAACAATAATTATTCATTGAAATTTATAATCTTTACAATAAGAAATAGACTAAAATATCATGCTTACGCAAAAAAAAATTCTAATGAAAATAAATCATCAAAAGATAAACAAATTTTTACAATTCCATACATAAAAAGCATATGCAACAAATTGAATGATATTGTGAAAAAGATCAATTATCAAATTGCACATGTACATATACATACTGTATAAATTAAATGAATTTACCAAAACCGGAAAGAATTGTTTACAAAAAATGTCGAGAAATAATGTTTATCGGATGTACAAATTGTAATGTCACATATGTACGGCAAACGAAGAGGCAGCTAAAAACACAAATTATCGAAGAGATATAAACAAAATTAGTGGTTCTCCCTCAGTTATATCTGAACATAGATTATCTAAATTATATGATTTTGATTGAAAAAATGTCAGAATTTTAGACAATTAACCTTCACTTCTAGTAAGTAGAGCTGTGTCTGAGATAATATAATATATATAAGAAATAAGCTAATGGTATAAACAAATAAAGTGAATTATTATCTGACATATATTCTCTGGTATCGGATCACCTTTCCTCCACTTAAATATATATTTTCAACGATGTGTAATCTCATAGCTAGAAAATAATGTTACTGAATATTATTGTGTTATAAAACATTGACCAAGGATGTTACAATTTAAAATAAAAAATCAAATACATTGTACAATAACATTGTACAATTAAAAATCTTAATAACGACCAGTAATTGAGCAAAAGAAATAGATGTATAATAAATTAATAATTTTATGTATATTTAAATATAAGACATCGTAAATGTTTCGACTCACAGTCTTCCTCAATACAATATAAATTTAAACTTACTTACAATCTAATTAAAATTTCTTACATTCTAACAGTGTAAAGTGATAATAAGTGTTCCTGAATAGAGTCAGTCATCCGTCCTCATAAAAAATTCTTTGTAATTTTCAAAATATTTTATCATACCATGCCCACTGAATAGATCAGTTTTGTTAAGAGCAATAAAAACTAAATTCTCGTTTAACAGCGAGAATCGTGTTAGTCATTTGTGTGTAATGTTCGTGATTGATATCATAAAATATTGTAACATAGTGTAATCTAAATATAATAAAGATAATAAAAAAGATTATAATAAATTCGGCATAAATAGGGAATTAGCGTTGTAATATGCTGTAATTATTGAATTATAATATAATGAATTGAATTATATGCATCCTAATTTACGAGGGTGGTCCCAGAAGTACCCGACCTAACAAAGAAAACACAAAAAATTTGGGAAAAAAAATCTTTATTTCTCAATATAGTCTCCTTTTAGCTCGATACACTTTTCCCAGCGATGTTCAATAGCTTCGATGGCCTGTTTATAGTAAGAACCGTTGAACTCCTCAAAATAGCCATTAACCGCAGACTCCACCTCTTCATTATTGGTAAATCTTCTACCACCGAGCCATTTTTTCAAGTTTGGAAAGAGAAAATAATCCGAGGGCTAAATCTGGCGAATAGGGTGCGTGGGGAAGCAATTCGAACTTTAACTCAACATCCTCTCGACGCTGCTTTTGTTCGATTGTGAGCAAGCGCGGCACTCACCTTGCGCACAGCTTTCTCATCTCCAAATTTTCAGCCAATACGCGATGTACAGCACTTTTTGAAATATTTACCATGTCTGCTAGCTCGCGCACTTTCAATCGACGGTCACCCAATACCATTTTGTGGATTTTCTTCACCATTTCTGGAATGGCCACCTCACTTGGTCGACCACTGGGATGTTCGTCTTCACAGCTCGTACGGCCTCGTTTAAACTCTGCCACCCAATATTTTACTGTTGTAAACGAAGGAGCAGACTCCTCCAGAGTAGAATCCAGCTCGGCTTTGATATTATTTGGGCTAAGACCTTTCAAATGAAAGTATTATATCACATAACGATGACCAATTTTTTCCATCTTTGCAAATTCACCGAGATCGTCCACTATTGATGGTTGTCAAACAAATACTGAACAACGTAGCGTCTTCAAACTTTATAGTTAAGCTTTAGAAAGTTGGTGCTTTCCCCTACAGATTTTTTTTATACAACAACCGCCATTTGTACATCAGGTCGGGTACTTCTGGGACACCCTCGTAATTATTGATTTGTAGTATATATGTTTTGGCTAACTTTTTAGTCATCCTCAGTACGTACATTCCATGTGAAAACGTAAGCGTTGAGATATATGAAATTAAGCCACGGTATTTGTATGATTTTCCTTATTTTTAATATCCGCAATGTTTCCATGAGAGATGGTCTTCACTTCTTTGAGAAAACGCAACTAGTTGACTAGCTGTTGCACGCACCATCCAACTGGTTACGTTTTCTTTTATTTTGGAAAATAATAACATTATTTATTTACATTACAACATTATTTATTTATATCAGAGAATTTAGATTATCATTTGAATAAAAATGTTCTTGTTAATTCTTAGATGTTATATGTGTAACATGATCTAAAGAATAATTAGAAGTTTATTAGTAGACATTTATGATGTCTTATATTTAAATATACGTCAAATTATTAATTAATACATCTATTTCTTTTGCTTGATTATTAGACATTATTTATAGGATTTTTGTATTGCTGTAAACATTTGAACGTTATTATACTTATTGTTTATTATACAATTAAATATAGGAATTATAATATAGCAGATTAGAGAAAACAAGTAAAAATATTCACAATTTTAACTTAGACACAATTTTAAATTAGACACAAATAATTATTAATTATTTACATTATAGTGCAATCAAACACATATTGGAAAATGTTGTAAGAATGTACAAAGTTTTAGAATCAAAAACTCTAGGATCTGCTATGTTCCTCATAGTATAAGCGAAATAATCTTAGACAAACTAATATATATTGCGACAACAACAGAAAGACGAATGCAATCGGTAATGAAAACAAATGTATAGATAACAAAACTTAATATTGGTAACAATGGTAGATAGGGGCAAGACATTAGATTAGTATTAGAATTTTATCACTGAAAATGACCGGAGTAAAAATCGAAACGTTTAAATATATAATTGTAATCTATTAGCATTAAGATATGTTATAATTTTGTTTATAAAATAGAGGTTATGACTATCAAGACTGACTATAATGCGGAGTCTGCAACAGAAGTTGTAAATGGTTATGGGGTCTTAAATCTTAGGTAATTGATCAATCAATAGTCGATTATTCTTTTCATATTAGACTATGATCGGTCAATTTCTTAAGGTAGGTACACTCGCGACAATACCATCCAAAAGTTAAGTCCCATCGCGCGCTCGGTGGTCGGTACTCCCTCTCTCGCCTGTAAGATAAAACTTTTGATTCCGTCTGTTCATAATCGCGCAGACGCAGACTAATGGCGCGCAAATGTGGCAACGTCGCAATGACATATGTCTACTTAAATAGGTTATCATAAAATAGGAAAAATCTTTTGCAAGATACATAGGTTACAATATCAAATCGATTGTAACCACACCATCTATGTAACTTCACCATCATACGAACCCCGAATGCCCTGAACGCGATATACGTGAGAAGTGCGGTGATGCCACATGTTAACTGATCGATTTTTCTTTTCTTTTCATGATTCTATTTTCCAAACTAAATGGTCAAAAATTATGGAATTTTTTTACAATATTCATTTTAAGGATATCACATACTCGTTTTTTGTTAACATCTCATTATTTAATTAGGTTCTAAAAATAAACGCGACATTTTCATGAACTTTGTAGAGGCGACACGTATACGAGTAAAATGTGCAGTTTTTAATTGCTTATATCTCAGGATTGAAATGAATGGTCAATCTCATTAT